AAAAGAGATTAATAAAGTAATATAACTATACTTATGCGAATGTTTACCTGGGTATACCCCAGGGTATACATAGTAAGCCTAGTAAGCAAATGTCTAATAGATTAGAAAACAGAAAATTATCTACTTCTAGAAAGCTTAATAATATAATAGTAAACTATGAAAGAGAATATATCGCTTATAAAACTTTTGCGAAAACTTTATAGTTTTTTGCACTTAAGTGCACGCGCAAGACACACGTGCAATGTTTGAGCCATGCTTACTAATATCAAGAACAAGTATAACAATTCAGGTGCATATCATACAAAGAAGATTGTCTGGAGAAACGTATTTTTAGATTAAAATACCTGATACAGTTCTCGCAACAAATACTTTTATTACTATTACAGCAGCGGGTAGACTAGTGACATGGTTCCGATACGGTACATACTTAGCTGAAATTAAATTTAACGGTGTAAACAACAATGACTGTTGTGACAAATGGGGCTCACATACTTTAGAAGATTAAATTTAGTGAATAATGATAAGTGTTATAGTAGTTGTAGTTGGGTATAAAGTTTCTGTAGTTGAAATTTTCTAGGAGTGACTTATACGTGTGACAAAATTTTGAAGCTAAGTGTGGAGCTTCGGACAGCGTCTAGAAGCGAGAATATGAGATTTAATTTCTGTTATTTGAAGAATAAATCAATTTGAATGACTGCAAACGCCAACTTAATTCTAAACTACATTAACATAAGTCTATTGTATTTATAGTAACAATGGAGCATTTTTAATCGCATGGTCCAGCTTTAGGTTTAACGCTTTCATGTGGCGAGAGTTTTAGCACTAACATTTCTCTCTGCCCATATCTCTACTTGTTATTTTGTTAAACATCAAAAGCATTCAGCAGATATCTCATTTTGGAGATATCTGCCTTTTCAGTTGATGGGCGTATTTTTCCTACGATCGCGGCACTTGTACTACTTTTCCACGAAAATTGCATTAAGTTCTACAATAGATATCTGCACAATAAGCCATTGATACTTAAATTTAATAATCAAATTATTTTAAATCGATTTCGGCCCACCCAGTCCCCTCTATTTCTGTTTCAATAAAGTTTTGTAAGATTTAGCAACTTTAGGTTCTTAAATTAAAAATTTTCAATGCTGGTTTTTTACAGAACTCTACCAGATAAAATAATGCACAAAATCGCAGCAAAAGGTGCCATATTTAAGTTCCATATTAACATCCAATTCACAAAATTTAGTGATTGACAAAATTATAAGTAACTGATAAAATTAGTTTAAAATCTTTTAAAGTTTATTATAAATGATTTGAATAAAAGAAACCTACCATTACGTGATATTAATGATCTTTATGATCTTAGGGCTACTGCCTTTAACAGAGTTTTGTGGAGAAATTTATTTACCTCATAATTAACCTTTATTTTTCAGAGAACTGTTATGTTTTTTTGGGCACTTATCAGTCCCTTATATACCTATATATTAAGATGTTTCTTTACTATTTTGAGATTGTTTTAAAAGTTAGATAATTATAATTGACCTAATCTGAAAGAGCAGCACAGCTTTCTTCTGCACGACTACTAAGTTGCATCCTTACCTGCTCGTCTCCTAAATTCAACTGTAAATTTTTGTTGTATAAACGACCGTCTGAAAATGTTGATTATATATTAAGTTGAAAATAAATGTCAGTTTATTTGAGTTAGGCTTTTGTGAGCTTTATTGCAGACGGGTGACATTCGTGGTAGGTCATTATCAGTCATTATTCAGTCATTATCAGTCATTATCAAATCATTATTAAGTCATTTTTGTCCCATTTTCAGATATTGAAGATGATATTTCTTGCACGGATTTTCAGTAGGAAATTTTCGAATATAAACTTTCCTGTGCCAAACGTCACAGTTTGAACGGAATTACTCTTCAGTTAACAATTATTTACTTCATTATGGATGGCATGAGACACGATTTTTTTATTTATTGAAATCTTTCAAATCATTCAATTACATACAAGTTTACACAATGAATTAGTTAAATATAATATTGTCCTCTAAGCATGGATTGTCAAAGTTGAAATTGTCTCGGACAAAATGTATGTAACCAAAGGACCTGAGGGTCACCAAAACACAGATATTGAGTGCAAATGCAGCTCCTGCACAAGCATGATACTCGACATTATATTCCAGGAGATAGCATTAAAAAACGGGAAAATCACGTTGTCTTTTTTGTCCCATTTTCAAATATGGGACCCTGCCCGGATTTTGATGAGATGCAGTTCAAAGTAGATGGGTACAATGCTGCCAACAAACAAGCATGGAAAGCTGTTTTTAAGTACTCAGCACGGGATAACGAAGTTCCTATGGAGCTACTGAAGAAACCAGTAACAGCTCCTTGTACTTCTTTTGAAGACCCAGCCATCAAGTCTGCAAAAGACAACATTGTCAATTTTGTAGACAACTTCAAGCCAAGAAAACTTGAATCTAATATGAACCGCTATGAGAGTGAAGGGTATATGTGGTTGAAGAAGGCTGTCAAGGATGGCTTAATAGCCATAACATCGGCTGATAAGGGCGGTGCGATAATCATTGTCACCCCTCAGATAATCAAGGATATCACTTCTGCCAAAGTTGAGGACCCTTTGAGATACAGACCTTTGCAAACTGATCCTACTGGATCTTTGAGAGGGAGGTTGTTAGAGCTGTGGTCATCTGGTTTGGAGCGGAAGTATGTAAGTGGTGAACAGTCTAAGTGTGTGGTTGGTTTGATTCAGAAGTCTGATCAGGACACTCTTTCACAGAGCACTTCAGATCTAGTCAAGCCCGATATTCCGTATGGTTACCCATTACTGAAAATTCACAAGCTGACTGAGACTGAAATTAGAGAGAAAAAGATTCCACCCAGTCGATTCGTGACTGATCTCTCTAGAGGAGTAACTGCAAGATCAGATAAGTTTGTTGTTTGGAAGCATGGTTGGGACCTCTTGCCAGGGATTACTGTATAGAAGTAGTATATGATGCATTTTTCAATAGCCATTTTGGGAAAAAGTGGGGCACACATAATGAAAGTAAGCATATTACGTAATGTTACCGGCGGCGTCCTTGTAACTAGTGTGATATCATGTTCCATGTAGAAACTATACTGGATGTAACTTGATTATTACGTCATGTTCATTGCTCACGGTACAAATTTGTGATCTTATCGTGTAACGATCTTACCAGATTAGAGTGGGTCAAAGTGAAGTTATAATGTGTCACAAGCACACAATCCGTTATCCTATAGATCACTCGAGTGACTCATATTAATATTTTTAACCCTTATAATTGGTCTAATATTACGTTCCTCGTGGAAGCTGCATTGGATCAATGTGACTCAAAAATTTGTTAACATCACAATTTGTATAGATCACCCCGGTGTTATTAGATCATAATGTTTTCAAGTGATCACCTGAACAATTATCGTACCCCACATGATCAGGGTACCTCTAAAATATCAGACATTATATGTTGCTACGTAGGTCCACGTGAAAATGTTGCCCCTCATTCCACTGGTCCCACCCACATCAATTAGAGCAGCCAGGTGTTAGATCATACTGTTTCTAAGAAACTTGACAGCGTTTCTGCCAGCCAACCGAGGTTATATACAAGTTACCGCTACAGCCGCATTCATTTCTCATTTGTTCGTTTTATCATTTGTTGACTATTGACACTGATTAGAATATATTCCTGCGTTCCTTTGCTTTTCTTTGTGTATAGAAATGTGGAACAAACTCATTTGCTGGTTATTCGGCAAATGGTTAATCATTTTTATGCTTTCTGTCCTCATACATCCTGAAGTTCTTGATGAAGTGGCTGGGCCGTCTGATATTGACACCGATATCCCGAGAAAAAGGAGGAAATTGGTGGCATCTTGTAGGAACTGTGGATTTCTGGCTGACCACGAGGTACATTTTACAATTTTTTGAAAGAGTGTAAACACGACTCTTACAATAATAAAGAAAACTAAATTTTATTTGCGCCAGGTTTTAATAGATACGATCACATTCAAATACATCTGATTACGTTTTAAAATATTATCAACTTATAACTTTATGAAACTCATGGTTAAATACTGACAAAATATCAGGATGAACTTGAAAGTCACCAGTGTACGGAAGAATTGAGAGAATCTCAAGATCCCTCAACTACGGAATCTCAAGAACCCTCCTCTGAAGGAAAAGATCAACAGAACGCTGAGGATGAAACGTTAAAACCTAAGGTATTTTTATTCAAAACGATTTTATCACCCTACGCGCGTGGGGTGGACTCCTGGGGTGGACTTTTATTCAGCGCGTATTTTGTAGCCTGTTCAACTTGACGTTTTGAATCGTTACTATCTCAATGTCACAGATACACAGAATGTGAGGTGATCATCTTAAAGAGAAACGTCTCAGCTTTCACCTGGTGTAAAGTTTATCTTTGTTCTCAAAATATAGCTCGCTCAGTGTGCAACAGAAGTTGACATTACAATAACCACGTCCGCGACCGGTCGTCAGATACCGGAGTCTTGCACAAAATTGGGTCCCTAAATTAAAATTTTATGACACAGTTACGATGAACTAGTGTCTAGGGAAACATTTGGTGAAAATTTGAAGGGTCTACTGTTAATATTGCAAAAGTTATTGAAAACAAACTAGCTTAATCAGAAGTTTTTGGGAAAATTTCAAATTTTGTACGTAGTGGGGTCTACTGGGGTGGACTCTGATCGTGACGCGCATCTGATGGCGTGGCTTTTTCAACAGCAGTCAGTACGGCCAATATCAGAGCACAAATTATTGTGAGTAAGACCTTAATGGTCAGCTATGAACCCCTCACTAGAATAGTAACCGTATCTAAAAACAAGGAAATGTTATTCCGTCAAAGCTCAAATTTTTTACTCTTCTCAGTGCAGTTACTATGAATGTACTAGCTAAGTATCGTTGATCGTAGCTGCATTACACAGTAGAAGGTAACCAAGGAAGACTGCTGATTAACGAAGCAATTTCAACGAGAACAGTTCCAAAATACATAATCATGGCGACGATAGTTCAACTTGAACCTTTATAGTTTTTACAGTCTAAGATCACAATAAAATCACGTGAACTGCGAATCACAAAATTAAATCACTCAAATCTGATACAGTCCCGTTACAGTACGCTTTCGTGACAACCTCAACGCTTAAAAAACTAAATATTCTGCAGTCTTGTGACCACCGATGGCCCTAACTCTCCCTTGTCCGCGAGGAGCATCGTTGCGACCATGGGTTTCAGTTCTTTGTTCTTCCCACTCGGCTTCGATAGATCGAATTGGCTGGAAGTCAATCTATCAGAAAGACCTTTGTCGATCTCAGGGGCGTGGTAAATTGTGGATGTCGGAGTATAAAGCTTCCTGAAAAGATTGAGACATTCACTCGGTCTGTTGTAAATATCAAATAGTCCTTGTAGGCCGAGATTTAATTTATGTTGGGTTTGATAACTAGAGAAGGCGATTTGATATTCATTGATAGTATAAGAGTATAAGCATATAAGCATAAGTGATAAGTTTATATACCCTTTTTATGGTACCTCGATATCAGTATTGAGTAATCATCACTCAAAATCTACTTATTAAATTTATTAACTAAACAAGTTAATGTATTACCGTCCTAGAGAGGTTTTCCTGAGAATTTGAAGTCTCTGTAGGTTGCTGACATGTCTACTAAGCTCTTCGATTGAGGAGTTTTGGACCCCTCGGCGGTCCAAATGATTTATAATGCTGTGGGCATTTTCAACATCTATCGAGCTAAACGCCCTCGCAGCATAACCTGTAGAGAATGAACATGTCATCAATGCAAAGTTCAATGATAAAAATCAGAGTGGCCGATTTCAACGGGCAGAATTCGAATATCATGGCCTTGGGGAATGGACTATTTTTTGTCGATTTTACTAACCAAACTGGCAAACGATTGTTGATTTTCGTCACTAGTCTAAAATGAAAGCAAACGTTCGGCCGAACATTTACATGATTAAAAACTTACCGGTTTCTTTCGTTATTATGTACAGACATAGCCGGGCTTGGGTTCCGCATACGATGTCTTCTATCAGATTAAAGTTGAACCCACACTTTGTACTGCTCGTGGGAGGAGAAAAGCAAACTGATACCTTTTCCATGAGCATCTCGTGTAGTACCATCATCATTTCGATTCTGATATCAGCTGCAAAATTCGTCTATTACTAAATGCTAGCTTTTCGAATTTCGTATCTTGGAAATAACAACTTCTATGAAAGAACACACACACACACACACACACACACACACACACACACACACACACACACACACACACACACACACACACACACACACACACACACACACACACACACACACACACACACACACACACACACACACACACACACACACACACACACACACACACACACACACACACACACACACACACACACACACACACACACACACACACACACACAGACGCACAGAGACACACTCACACACACACACACACAGACGCACAGAGACACACACTCACTCACACACACACACAGACAGACAGACACACAGACAGACAGACAGACAGACAGACAGATACACACACCCACAAACACATACAGACATAGACACACAGACACAGCATAAACACAGACACACACAGACACAGACGGACACACAGACAGACACAGATACACACAGACATACACACACACCCACAAACACACCCACAAACACACACAGACACATACACACACAGACACATACACACACAGACACATACACACACAGACACACACACATAAACACACATAGTTCACTTCAGTACACTACATTACAGACACACGCAGTACAATCAGAGACACACACTCGATACAAAGACAGACACAGGCACAAACACACAGAGTACACTTCAGTACAATCACAGACGCAGGCACAAAGACATATACAAGAAGAGCAGATTGAAGTACCTTCATTTGCAGATGTTGACGCATTGATCTGTGGGATATGTTCTTCAGTCTGTAACTGATCATCTGCTAGAACTGTCTCATCTGGATCAACCGGAGGAGTATCTTCCGGCAGGAGTCTGAGTGGGTCTATCGGGACAGCCATGGATCGCTCTCCGTACCTTGCTGAAATAAAGACAAAGGTCAACGACGGATGTCGCATGTCAGTCCTGTAACTAAATGTAATGCAAAGTAGTGAATAAATAATTTTTACATCTGAACGATTGTTCATTGATTCTTTGAATCTGTTCATTGATTCAAAGAATCAATGAACAAAAGTTCAGGATTTTACCTTCTGTTAAGCTGTTAGCACTGACTCTAGCCCCCTCTCCCTACAAAACGACCATATCTCGGGCTGGAGCTTTCAACCGTCTTGCCTCAGCAGCCATCTAGCACAGTCGACCTGTCCTGTTAATTATGTGATCATCAAGTTACCAAATTTAATCCTTCAATATTCAAATAATTGATTATCAGACAAAACAGAGTTTAGAGCTCGACGTATGCTTCAGGGTTTCACACTGTGCTGTAATCAAACGCATGACTAAAACCTCTTGCTACTATTACCAATGTTAGATAAACCCATATTGTTAAGGCGGTCAAATGATTTACCTGAGTTGATCGCGTCCATGAAAGGGTTCAACTGCGCTCTGTCCAGCTTGTTAATGTCCGCTCCAGCAGCCAGCAGTGCCTCCGCCTCCGTCACTCTCCCTGCTTTGCATGGCCAGTGAAGCGTAGAGCTCCCCTCTAAGCTCTGTGACGATCCGACGAAGGATCCAGATTCCCTTCTTTTCTCTTGAGATTGCTTCAATTCTTCCTGGAGTATGCGGATTACCATTTTTATACTTCCATACAGGGCGCGTGAACAATCAGCAATGAATTATCAATTAATCAATCTAGTTTTTGAGTAAAAAGTCCACAGATTGTGATACATTGGATTTGATATTGGAAAAGACATGGCTTACCAAGTACCTTTTCATGTGCTTTTTGGAGGACAGGGATGACTTATTCCTGCGTGCCATTTCACCATAACTATCTGCTGTAACAGCAAAAATTAGAATTATGTCGGACATAATTCTAAAAAATTGGAACATTGATTGCGTTGTCTTCACTTTCAGTGACTAAGTTTCACGATAGAAAAATTGACCTTATGTATTTAAAAAAAAGGATGCACAGTTCAAGCAATAAATCGATCGGCTGCTCATATGATATTTGCATTTAAAGGAGGGCCCAGTGCAGTGACCAGTAAGTCTGTTAAGGCAACATTTAGATCTGAGATAAGCTTAGTCTTGACAAAGATAAGTGAGTTTCGAGAAAGTGCACACGGATAAAGTTATCAAGTGACAATGATAAGACTAAGTTAGGGTCAAGTCAACAGAATGGCAGCTGTAACAGAAACAGTTCATTGGATAGGGGAGTAGGGGATTATGACGGAGTGAAATTTATTTAGCAGGGCAAACAAAAAACAACTGACAGCACTGAGCAAGTGAACTGGAAAATTGAGGAACGAAAATAACAGTGGTTGTCAGCCCTTTCCGTAGCAATCAGGATTTCCCAGGAGATCGATCAGGCAATCAGGATTTCCCACGAGAATGCTCGAGTCAACGCGCGCACTTGTGTCACGTGACGGCCACGTGACGCTCTAATCGTTGTCACGTGGTACAGAAGGGAAGTTCCTAGAGCGTAGATCTCGACAAGAGGGAGTTTCTCACGGTTTATCTTCAATAACTATCGCTATTTTTATAGTAGAGAGTTGAAACTTTCACCAAATGTTTCCCTAGACACTAGTTCATCGTAACTGTGTCATAAAATTTTAATTTAGGGACCCAATTTTGTGCAAGACTCCGGTATCTGACGACCGGTCACGGACGTGGTTATTGTAATGTCAACTTCTGTTGCACACTGAGCGAGCTATATTTTGAGAACAAAGATAAACTTTACACCAGGTGAAAGCTGAGACGCTTCTCTTTAAGATGATCACCTCACATTCTATGTATCTGTGACATTGAGATAGTAACGATTCAAAACGTCAAGTTGAACAGGCTACAAAATACGCGCTGAATAAAAGTCCACCCCAGGAGTCCACCCCACGCGCGTAGGGTGTTTATTATACAAATTCTTAAAGATTTCCTCTGATAAACAAAACGTGGTGTTTATGAAATATCCCGTTCTGTTATGAGATTTGTGTTTCATATTACCAGTCGGTCCTTTCAGAATCGTCATATCAAGATTAAATGCAACGACTGTGGTTCAGTTATGCGTGTTGATCACTTGAAACGGCATGCCGCCAAATGTAAAATTCGGTGTAAAGATTGTGGAAAGCGAGTGCCTCAGGGTGAATTTAAGGACCATAAGGAGCTTCATGAATGGAACCTTAGAAACAGTTTCCCGGAGTCATCCGCCTCATCTTCACAAAATGCAGATGACGAAGATTTAGAACAGGGTGAATTTAACGACATGAGGAGTACGATCGATTCATTAAGACAGCGACCAAATTTGGTCGCATAATGGACACATACAATTTTAAAATGAATCAATTTTCACCAAATGAACTCATTTATCGGTTCAAGTCGATTTTCAAAGCACAGAAAAACTCTTTCAAAATCAAAATCTCACTTGGGGTTATCCTGTTTAACAAAACCACAGAGGAGTATGCTTTTTACAAAAGCTCTCAAAATAACCAACTACTTCTTGATCAACCAGTCCTCATTAGAAATTACAGTGACAAGGCTGGCTTCCAGTGGCGTAACGTTGCCTGTTGGCGCCCCCCTGCCGAAAAGGCGCCCCCCTGTTGGCGCCCCTTCCCCTTTTGGTGCCCCTCCCTAAAATTGAACAAATTAGGTGATTTTAGAGGATACGCCGGTAAAATCTCTAAAAAAGTATGTATCTAGAGCAAAACGCGCAGTTTTGCTAGTACTTTAGTTAAGTTTTCGAAATTGTCCCACATTCAAACGACGATTTGGCGCCCCCCTAAGACGGCGCCCCCCTGCACAGCGGGGTCAGCAGGGCCCTTTGTTACGCCACTGCTGGCTTCATTAGAAAATTAGAAAGTTTGGACCTGATTAGTGATTGCAGCGATATCCAGACCCAACAGTCAATGGACCATTGCTAAAGTCACAAATGCTACATTTTTCGTCTACAAGCTCACAGGAACTCCTATTGGGTCACCAGTTGAACTTCCATCGCATCTTGCCAACAACAGAGGTTTGATAAGTTTAACCAAAAGGAAGGGAAAGGCCTACAACGACAAGTTGTGTTTCTTCCGAAGTCTTAGTCTTCACATGGGGCTGCCCCTTGATGGACTGGAAGGGAAAGCAAAAGAGCTGAAAAACTTGTTTTGTGAGAAAGCTTCTATAAAGGAGTTTGAAGGTGTCACCTTGGATCAACTAGAGGAAATATCACGCATCTTCAAAGTTGCAATAAACGTTTATGAACAGGATGAACAGAGGAACACTGATTTGATATTCAGAACCATCACGGAGTCTGACAATCCTCTGAACCTTAACCTGTACGGCGAGCACTTTTCTTTTATCAAGAACTTAGCCATTTACTCCCAGTCCTATAGGTGTGCAAAGTGTGATAAGATATGGTCGAGCTCGGGGAACTTCCATAGACATGTTCGAAATTGTGAAGCAGGTGTTAAACACAAATACGGTACCGGTACATTTGAGCTCCGACCCACTGTTTTTGAGGCTCTTGAGGAGGAGGGAGTTTTCGTGCCACTGGAACTTCGACCTTTTCCATTCATGGCCACTTATGATATTGAATGTATGTTGAAGAAGGAAGTAGATATCAACGACACAGCTAAAATAAACTATACGTCTAAACATGAGCTTGCGTCTGTTTCGGTCTGTAGTAATGTACCTGGATTTACCTCTCCGAAGTGTTTCATCTTGCCTTGTGAGGGAGGTCAAAATCAGCTTGTGAAGAAGTTTGTTGATTACCTCATGAACATCAGTGAAACTTCATCTGCAATTCTACGTGAAAGGTACTCGAAGTATCTTGATCAGATAAGCTCAGACAGGACACTTCAAAGATTTGAGGAGCATATTACACAGTTGCCTGTGCTATCGTTTAACGGTGCCAGTTATGATTTGAGAATCTTAAAAGAGTTTATTATCCCTGTTATCATTGATCTAGACTCACTTAAGTTTGTCATAAAGAAAAGTACAAGTTACATGGCAATAGTGACTGAAGAGCTGCGTTTTCTTGATGTAATGTATTACATCGCACCTTCGTTTGACTATTCTCAGTTCCTTCACGCCTACGGTGCTAACGCTCAGAAGGGTTTCTTTCCATATGATTGGTTTAATGACTTGAAGAAGCTTGAGTCAGATCACTTCCCATCTTACCAGGACTTTTACTCTTCATTAAAAGGATCCAACACACTTCAACCCACTGCGACGGAAATTTTGGGTGCAGATGAAGTTAACCTTATAGGAAGAAAACCGTCGAAAGGTACCCCACTTACATCCGACGAAATGTTCCAAATCTCTCAGCTGAGATATGAGACAGTAAGCAACATGTTCTACGAAAACAAATGGACTATGAAGGATTATCTAATCCATTATAACAATGCAGATGTCAAACCATTTTTAAGTGCCCTCAAGAATATGTCTAAGTACTAGTACTACATCGACCGAGGTGTTGACGCTTTCAAAGACGGATTTTCAGGTAACTAATAAATCAAAAGATAGGTATTTAAACTGTAAAATAGGTACTGTAAATTATAAAAAAATTACGAATTAATAATATCATATTATAACGACACGGTGAAGTTCTTGGAGCAAATTATGAATTGAATTATTTTACTATTGCGAACGTAAAATATACATTTTATAATGTTTTCGGTTTCAGTTCCTGGAATTGCAGAGAGGCTTGCGTTCAAAACTTTGAAACCTGATGAAAATTTTCTCCTATTCAATAAAAGGAACGCAGATCTGGTAGAACTTTTCAGAGGAAATAATGTTGGTGGCCCTGCCATCATTTTCGATAGATATCAGGAAGCAGGTGAGCGAAAATGATAATGATAACGTTTACGTTTAGACACAAGGAAGTAATTGAAATAATATTAAATTTGATAACTTGATCTAGAAATAGTTAACTAATGATATATATTCTTGAACAGGTGTCACAAATATCAGACATAGCAACGAAGGAAAGCAGTGTAGGAGAATTTTGGGCTATGATGCAAACGCACTGTACCTCTGTAAGTGAACTTGTATTTCGTTTTTCTCCCTTTTTCTTGCAGAGAATTGTGTCAAATTTTCTAAGTTAATCAAGTCTAAAAAAGCTATTATTGATGTGGAATAAAAATTATTAGGGTGTATGCAGCAACAAATGCCATGTGGTATGTTTCTTCGAAGAAAACGGGAGGATCTTTTCGAGAAGAAATATCCAAAGCCTCATTCTGCTGCGTGCAGTGAATGGATGGGTTATCTTGAAACAACACGAGGGATTGATATACAACATGCACGCAATGGGACTGAATTTAGAGTAGGGAGCAGAAAAATACCGGTGGATGGTTATTCCAGGTTTTACATTAAATAATATAAGTCTTTGTTTCATTTCGATATCCAATTTGTCTAATCGTTGTCAATTATAAACTCTCAGCGTCATTCCTCACGAATTTTTATTTTATTTTTTTTCAGAGAATCAAAGACTGTATTTCAATTCCACGGATGCTTCTTCCATGGGTGTCTTTCCTGTTTTAAGTCTCCACAACACGACCGTGAAGAATCTCGTAACGGTTGGAGATCCTTTGACGATCGCTATAAGGCCACTGGAGAGGTATCTGACTACATTACTGATGAGGGGTATCGATTAGAGGTGATTTGGGAGTGTGAATGGAAAGATCTGAAGAAAACTGTCGAATTCAAAAACAAATACTTGTATCCGGGAGAGTCGAATGTTTACATGAGAGAGTCCCAGATACTAGCTATGGTGATGGACGGCAGCATGTTTGGTGTAGTTGAAGTGGATATTGAGGTTCCGGAAGAATTGAAAGATCATTTCACAGAGATGACACCAATATTCAAAAACACGACCATATCCTTATCAGACATTGGACTTTACATGACGGATCATCTGACTCAATCCAAACAGAATTTCCGAGATCGGAGATGTTTAATTGGATCTATGTTTGGGACCAAAATTCTCTTGATAACTCCACTCCTGATTTGGTATGTAAAGCATGGCCTCAAAGTGACAAAGATATATCAGGTCATCCAATTCGATCCGAAGGAGTGCTTCAAACGATTCGGAGATCAAGTGTCTGACGACCGAAGAGCTGGTGAGTGTAATTACACTTAGAATTTAATAAAGTATTTTTACGCTACATCATCCTACTGTTTATAATAATTATAAACTTTATAATGAACGGTGTTTTCCAGATTGAACTATTTAACTCCTTGAGAACTTTTGTTTTAGATAAAACAATTCAGGTGACGCTGACATCACTAAAAAGATCATTGGTGATACATCAAAGCTTATAGGTTTGAATATTACCTTTAATTTAACATTTACTAGCAGGAACCCGTCTAACCCTAAAGTGGTGTCAAGACTGAGAGACTGAGAGACTAAAATAATTATTACCTATTTAATTCGCGTTTTTGACACCACTTGGGAGTCCAAATTTTGGGCACTTAAATTCTTATTCCTTGGCCAATTTTTTATTTTTTCATGCTGATTTGAAGGCCATTAAAGCATTTGACCAAGTCAAAAAAGTTTCAGTTGCATATCTTTTACGGTTTTTGCGGAAAGTCGCGTTAAAGTTGATGCCGTGGTGTCAGTAAAATGGCACGGATCCATATATCCATATATATCGTCTCGCTTTATATATATATATAACTGGATGAGACTCCGACTGGCAAGAGAACACCAAGAAGAAGGAACTGGTCTGAGTCGTTCTGTTTTGACTCCCCACAAACACCAAAAGAAACATGCGTTCGAATAAGAGATTCCGGCCTGTACGATAGTAGTAACGGACTAGGAGACTGTTTTCACCTTGAACATGATTATCTGGAAAGACACGACACTGGAAGGATAGATAAAGGGAAACTCTTCTGTGAAGTGAAGAAAGTACTCTCCATACCTAATGACTGTACAAAGCTTGAAGAATTTAGTTCGGTGAGCCTTGCTTGGACCACGGAGGAGGTAGAGGCCGTCTCGAAGACGCAAAAGTTTGGTCAGTCGCCATCCCCGATCGATCAAAGAAAGTGTCTGATATACCTCCTCGGTAGAATGATTAACCATTCTGCTCGTTTCCTACCATCAAAGCCTTCTTTCAATGGACTGAAGATCACTGTTTTACCAGATCGGACTAAAAAGTTCTCTCTTGAAACCCTCAATGAGAAAAATGGGCAACCCATCATTCTCCTCCATCTAGGCAAAACATGTCGAAATGTTGACGTTATCCCTAAGAAACGTGACCCATTTCGGACAAATATTTGCGATGTGCAACTCGAGAACTTTTCCCTTCTAACGATCTTCCCAAGTACCCTGCAGCACTTTGACATCAGTCTAGCCAGTGAGGGTACCCATCTCCAAGATCCTCACGTCTTAATCTCACCGTGTTATATTCAAACAGATCAGTTTGTGGAACCGGTTAAAGAGATTCATATCGGAAACTGCAATTCCGAAAAAAGTGTTCCTGGGCTAGACTCACCGCCAACCAAAAACACTGCAGCCCCAGAGATCATCACCAATGAGGAAGGAACTGAATGTGCAAGTAATAAAATACCTGTTATAGACAAAAGTGAACCAAGCACTGAGAAAGACAACGAAGAAGGACTATCTGAACCTTCAATGCAAACTGACGAGGAGATATCTCCCGAGAATGCGAGTGAAGTAACGATTTCTGAAGTCACAGCTCGAGGCTTCAACTTGTCCAACAAGAGCCCAGATGGGGTAAATGTGGAGCCCCATAAACTGAAGCCCCATGAATTAGATGGTAAAAAAGCAGAGCCCCATGAACCATCGGTCAAGAAAGACGATGATGAAGGGTCATCTGAACCGTTAAAGCTAACTGGTGAGGAGATTTCTCCCGAGAATATGAGTGAAGCGAAGATCTCCGAAATCACAGCTGAAATTACCGGTGACGAGAAGAAAGTCGACGGAGAAACTGACACAAATGTCCATATCAAAATCAAGTGCTCCGATGATACAGATTTATCTCGCGGCAAGAAGAAGGCCAACAATGATACGACCAAAAATCTTGATAAAGAAACGGTCGGGGAAGAAAGGCCCATCAATAAATTCATTAGCGCACCAAACCTGGAAGATGTTGTTGAAAAGCTAAACGCTAAACCGCTAATCAGCTGGGTTAAAGCTTGTGAACTTAAACCAAGTCATACTGCAGAAAAGAACAGGCAGATCCTTTCAAAACATTTGACTCTGGTTTCAGAAAACAAACAACAACTTCCTCCTCTCGTGATCGAAAACATCACAAAAAAACTTAACGATAATGCTGTCTGCGAAGAGCTGGATAGAATAGGGTTAACCAGACCAAGAACTGCTAAGGCCAGGAAAACTCTTCTGCAGTCTTACCTCATCGAAAACTTTACTTCAGTCAATATGCTTGATCGCCGTGAAGATTTCAAGCTGGAAAAAAGCCGAATCAAAGGCAAAAAGAAAAAGGCTAGACGTAACACAGGAAAATCATTCCTGGATACTAAGAACCCAGCATCGGTAGAAGAGATCTGTGAAGCTATTGAGAACACAGGTTATCAGCCACCAAGCGAGGAGGGACACCAATCAGTTAGGTCTGGTGCCTCACCTGTCGTAGCAGCTGAAGTGACAAAAGACGGTACCAATGACCTCAGCGACGAGATCAGGAACATCCCCAAAACCACGAACGAACCCGATTCCAGTGACAAGACGCCCGTAGATCCAGCCCAAAAGAAACCTAAAAAGGAAAAGAAGAATACGGCTATAAGTAACCCAGGGCCAGCTGCAGCTAAAAACGTCTCTGCATCTACCGCAACACCCGTAAGCGGGTTTGAAAAGCCACTAAAGACACTTGAAGACGGACTTCTCAAGCTCCAGGAATCAGCAACCAGCCACGAAGTTCTTTTGAAAACTCTTCGCCAGAGGCAAGAGTCCGACCTTAATACAAGCCCGGATGTAAAGCAAGAAATCCGCGAACTAAAACAGAAGGTAAACTCTCTTTTAGAGGCACTCAAGATCCAGCAAGAAACACTCAATGAACTCGTTGAGCATAGGAACCAACCAGTTGAGCTGCCATCCCCTCAGGACCAGGCGTGCACTGAACAGATGGTAATAGAGCCAACAGTTTCACATACCAACCTCGAATTGAGATTTCCTACTCCAGACTCAGAGAATGTTGAGGGTTTCAGATGTAAAGACTGCGATAGCAAATTCGCCCAGATCTTTTGCTTTCTCGCTGTTCTTTGGCAACAAACTAAGACGTTAAGGAAAAACAGCTGGCAGACACACCTTCAGGAAAGTTCCATCAAACATGACCATGCCTACTGTAAGCCTCGGCATGAAAAGCCAAAAAAGAAGTTGGTTAAAGTAGTTGATGAAGAAATCGACGACAACCCAGGCGAAACCGTGATCGGAGAAGCCGAAGTGAATCTCGAAACCACCGAAGTCATTTTCAACGAGGAAGAAATCGAAGTCAGCGAGATGACTGAAATCTTTGACGAAAACAAATCGCCGGAGCTTTTATCTCGTGCCATACCAATCATCAAGACTTCGACGCTAACTGCTCTCCCGTTAAGAAGTAGAGTTAATTCTACTCGTCCCAAGAAAAACAAGTGTATCATTTTGCACGATTGCCCAAACATCATAGTCAATGAAAAGAAGTTGACCCCATTCTTCGACATAGAATGCATTCAGGTCAATTCGCTCAGAACAATTTCCTCCCGAAAAAACCTTAACAACATCTGCAACACCATTATGGATACAAAACCTGAGGCGATCTTTATCCACCTTGGATATACGGATCTCAGACGACAGGCGGATGTGGATGCCTTAGTGAAAAACTATGACCGTCTTCTTCACGAATTAGAGAGGGTCACTGATGCCGATATTTGCGCAACAATGCTGAAACAAACCCATGGCTACGACTATCTGAATTACTCAATTAAACACTTTAATAATGATATGAAATGTTTGATTGACAACCGCCGAACAACAACAAAAGGAAGCAAGCAGGTTTTCATCGAGGAAGAACAATTTGTTATCGAGGGAATAGGATCTAAAAGTGAAGTCATAGAGGAGTCTGCGTACATGATCCCTCCTGAGGATGAGGTTGAAGTGCAGAGTATACCTATTCCTAGTATCCCTGGTTCCTCCGCTAGATTTGAAAACAACCAGCTGTATTCCCCTCGGCGCCTTAGTGCTCATCTAGCTCCTACTAGAGGCAAGTCAGGAGGTCCATCTAAACATGACAACTCGACAAGAGATCATAACCAGACCTCAAGCAATCACTGCAGTGACAGAACAAAAAACAACAGAATATCAAGGTTCTAGGAAGCCATGACACGAGGCTTTCATGTGAGACAGCCCCATCACCACTGGGTACTAAACGACCTAGGAAACCATCAAACAAGAAGGAGGACCGGGAAGAAGCCACAACTTCAACAGCCAACGATACCAATGGCCAATGCCGACAACATGAACCAGAAGGAAGTAGTCGATCACAGCCCCCCTCCGAGAAAACCGATCTTGATAAGGATAAGACTCCAGGAATAGATCAAACTGAAAATACAGGAGATTCTATCCCAACTAGCCATGTGGCAACAGTAAATAGCACTCATGGAGAAACCGTATCTGCTAACAACCTAAGCCACAAGGAGCCAGCACAAAAATCACCAAAGGAGAATGCCCAGACCAGCCCAGAAACACCAAGAGGAAGATCACATCCGACCCAGCGGTCGAACCGAAAATGTCTCCTTGTTCACGATGATTTTTTCAACAAATTTGACGGGACCAAATTTAGCAGTCGTTTTGAGATCAGCACATATCGAGCCTTCTCGGTCGACGATATCATTTCGAAAGGAGGCCTCGTATCAAAAGTGCGAAACACAAAACCAGATGTCGTGTTCGTGCATACAGGATTTCAAGACCTATTCTGGCTCAAACTTTCTGCTGACGATCTTTTCGGTAAATATAAACAGATGGTCTACAACATCCTCGAATCGACAACGGCTAAACTCTGCCTATCAGCGATCATCCCAATCCCTGGCTACCCTCGTCTGACCGAGGAGATTGAATCCTTTAATGGCTTGCTGTCAACTTTTGTGAGCAACCTCAGATCAGGACAAAAATACCGAAACCGTGTCTTTACATCGTGTAATCGTAATCTCGGTGGATTCATAAACAAAGGGACAGGAAAAAATGGCGTAGAACTGTTCCTCTCAGAAAGAGGCCAACGGAAAACCTGGCTGAAGTTTCGTGATTCTCTTTATAGAACTGTAGACATGGAGACCAGTCACGGGAATTACGAGGACGAAACTGGATACAAACCGAAAAGGAAGCGCAATGATTAATTCTATACCTGATAGGACTACGAGCCACCAACAAGACCTTATGAGGATCTTGTCGTGGAACATTCATGACGCAATGTCCTTCAAAGAGGGCCCCAAGGCCGATGATGAGGACTTCGTCAAACTTCTCATTGGGTGTAACATATTCTGCCTGCAGGAAACGAAGGCTGAGTTCCACCTTCCAAACTTCAAATGCTACAATAGCCTTAGAACCGGCTCGCGCTCCGGTGGGCTATGTGTGGGGGTCCATCGATCCCTGTCAGGAGACTTCAAGCCCGTAAAAAGCTCCCATCCAGATATTCAAGCGGTGACTTTTTGCCCCGCCACTGATGATACTCTCAAGTTCACAATAATCAACGTATACGACTCCCCAGAGCAGTCATCCTACAAAAAGAGACTGAAAAACAGCAATGGTGGACCATCCCAGTCAACACTCGAATCCATTATTGACTTTGTTGCTGAAAACACAGATCTCGGCGAGAAACTGGTTCTAGGAGACTTCAATGCAAGAACAGGGGACCTCAACTTTAACTTTGATGATGAACCTCCAGCTGACATCGAGGCTTTCTCAACGATCGCAAGCTTTCCAGAAAAATCAACAAGATCAAGCAAAGACTCTGTGATAAACCCAAGGGGAAAACTCTTTCTGGACTTCATATCCAGTCTGAACCTTAGCATTCTTAATGGTGATACACTAGGAGACATCTTCGGGGAACCCACCTCAATTAATTACAATGGACACAGCGTTGTAGACTACGTAACAGCATCCCCCATGCTAAGGGAATCGGTGCAAAGTCTTAAGGTCTTAGATCTTACGAAATTCTCAGACCACCGCCCATGCTTATGCACACTGAAACTGAGTCATAATTATATAATTGATCCGGACGAAATTCTATCCTCACTCCAGCCAGCCCCAATAAAACACAAATGGGACGAGAATGCTTCAGAGAATAAACAGCAGTTCCTAGATGTCCAAAAAGAACCCCAGTTTGCAAGCAGAATCGCGGAACTGGTTGAAGCTGTTTGCGTAAAAAAGGAGGATGTCATTAAGCTCAATGAAAACATCGTCGGCATTTATCGTGATATGGCTGATCAGGCCCTACCAAGACCTAGAAAACATAAACAAAAACCCCTCAATAGGAAAACTCGGGGATACAAAAGGGCAAAACCGAAGTCTCCATGGTTTGATATTGCCTGCATCATCGAAAAACGTGAACTAAATCGATTAGCTAAAACATACGGTAAAAGTCCTCTTGATAAAGAACTGAGAGACAGCTACTACAACAAACGCCGCGAATACCGAAAGCTCGTGAGACAGAAGAAGGCCAAGTTCGTGGAATCTCTTTGTCGTGATGTTGACGAGGGGCGCGACATAAACTGGAGTCGCTTTAAGAAACTTAAAAGCTTCTCCTCAAATGGCTCAAAGCTGGACGTTTTCGATATGATGAACTTCTGTAAATTCTTCAAAGAGCTGTACTCAAAACCTTCCACCCCGAATGAAGAAACTGCTGACTTCACGGAACGCAGAAAGACTGAACTTCGTGTTCATGAACTCGTGGAAGTTCTGGACAAAGATATCGAAATAGAGGAACTTCGGACCGCCATCAAAGGCCTTAAGAAAGGGAAAGCCATCGCCGAAGATAAAATCCTGAATGAGTTCCTCATTTCGTCAGATGAACCAATGCTGTCAGCTGTTCTCAACCTTTTCAACCACTGTTTGAAACTCGGGGAATATCCATGGACGACCTCTCTAGTTACCCCCTTGCACAAAAAGGGGAGTGTATACGATCCGAACAACTACCGGGCGATAGCCGTGGCGAGCAATGTTGGGAAGCTGTTTTCAACTATCTTATTACAGCGCCTACTCACATTCCGGTCACTGAACTGTCCAGACACCATAAACCAGCTAGGGTTCTGTAAAAAAGCACAGACGAGTGACCACATACTAACACTCTCAACTTGCATCCAAAAGTATGTAACGCAACGGAAAAAGAGGCTATATGGATGCTTCGTCGACTACGCGAAGGCGTTCGACTCTGTGTGCCGAGATGCCATGCTCTATAAACTCTGGGAGCTAGGAGTAAGAGGTCGATACTTTCAATGTATCGAGCAGATGTATTCACATTCCTCAGCAAAAATCAAACTGTTGAACAGATTGTCAGAGACAATCGACATTCACTGTGGGACTGAGCAAGGTCACCCGATGTCTCCTGAGCTGTTCAAGTGTTTCATCCACCAACTCTCCCTAGATCTGGATAACGCTGAGGAAGTCAACGTCCCTGAACTGAATAATGTTAATATCACTCATCTCCTCTGGGCTGATGATCTTATACTTCTTGCCCTTGACCATACTGGACTACAGAAACTTCTAAACGTTTTACACAGTTACTGTATCGAATGGGGACTAACCGTTAACATCGGAAAAACGGCAGTGATGGTGTTCAACCGTTCCGGGAGGCTCCTTAAAGAGAGTCTGACATTCCAACTCGGCGAAACCAACATCACATCAGTTCGAGAATATTGCTACCTCGGGATAACCTTTACCCTCAACGGTTCTTCAGCAGTAGCACAGAACAAACTGAAGCAAAAAGGTCTTAGAAGCTACTTCGCGCTAAAAAGCAGTATTGACTTAAGACACTTCAGGCGAACAATCGTATTCAAGCTATTCGACGCGCTTGTGGTACCGATTGTGACATACGGATGTCAGGTGTGGCTCCCAGAGACTCTCTTTGTCAGAAACTATCAAGATAATATCAACACCAAATCTCTCCTGAAGGAGACTGCAAGAGATCCTCTCGAAAAGCTTCATCTCTCATTCCTCAAGTGGACCTTAGGAGTGGGCAGAAAAACCTCAAATGCGAGTGTATGGGGTGATACAGGCCGCTGCCCCCTAGTGATAAAGGCATCAAAGCAAGTATTTGGGTATTTCAACCGACTTGAGCAAATGGACAGAGCTGGTTGCACAAGTCTAGCCAGACAGGCGTTCATAGAACAACGCACACTCAATCTGCCATGGTACAAAGGTATAGAAGATCTCCGACAAAGCCTTCAGTCAGTATCATCTCGCAGGTTGACCTACCCCAACCAATTCAAAACAGCACTACGTAGTACTTTTATTAACTGTTGGAACGATGAGCGGCAAAACAACCGGAAGCTCAGTTTCTACAACACTATCAAAAGTGAATTTACAGCTGAAGCGTACCTGAACCTGCAGCTCAGTGGAGAAGAGGTGAAGCGGCTGGCGCAGTTCAGAATGAGTGCTCATAAGTTCAACATCGAGACCGGTAGATACGCCATCAACCGTGAAAATCCGCTCAGTCGCATTTGTAAGCACTGTTCTTCATCAGACCTTGAAGCTGTCGGTATACTTGCCGAACTACCAATGTTTGAGCCGATCATTGAAGATGAGAAACACGTTCTCACGGATTGTTCGCTTTACGACGACCTGAGGCGAAACATAGGTCAGCAGGCGAGAACCATGATCACCTCTGGAGCGGAGACCTTTGCCGACCTCTTCAAGGATATCCTATTGATCAGAGAAACTGCCAGATTCTTGAGTAAAGTGAACAAGCGGAGGTTCCCCCCGAGTGACAGAAAAGAAAAGGAAGGACCTACAACATGACTCACGGACTCAACATGCGAAACATGGATCCGACTGTGTGTTATTTTTCGTGTGCGTTTCACACTTTTGATTTAGTGTGGAATTTATGTGTGGATCTTAGGCATGGACACAAAGGACTGGTTGTTCGCGTCATGAACATTCCTTTTTAGAATAGCTCGGTTTTTAAACTCTTTAGACTATAACCGTCAACCGTGCATTTTTCAGGACAGGTTTCGGTTTTTTCGTTTTTGACTTTCATTTTATCTTTATTTTTTAAATTTAGATCCGACACAATGTTTATTGTAATGATCATTTTATTTTGAAAAAAAAAAAAAAAAAAAAAAAAAAAATATATAGTAAGATTGACGAATTTTAGCGAATTAATAGAAAATAAATCCGCGACAACTATCCTACCACTTTCGTAGGTAACAGTGTCTATGGACATTCGATCATGGACAAATCAAAGCACACTGCGGTCAAGTTTTGTGGAATCGAGAAAGCGTCAAAAGCTATCAATGATCCCTTCTTCAGTTCATTTGAGGAGTGTGGTGAAGAAACGTTCGAGGTATTTTTTTTAATAGTAAGAAATAGTAAGAAATAGTAAGATTTAATAGTAAGAATTAATAGTAAGAAATTAAATTTAACGTATTGACTTCATATCAGAAATTTAAGATATGGGAGTGCTAGCTTTCAAAGTTTGAAACACGTAATATCTTATACCATTACCAGATAACGCTAAAAAAGAAGTCTATCAAACATGACCTACCGATCCAGTTAGGCTTCTTCGTATATCAGTATGCTAAGATGCGAATGCTTAGCTTTTACTACGATGTTGTTGATCGATTCGTTGACAGACAAGACTACTGTGTTTTAGAGATGGATACAGGTTTAATTGTAACAGACATAGCCTGACTCATTGTGAGATAATTGAAAATAGAATCTAAAATAGGTCTAATATATCTACATAGGATATTAAAATGTAAAATCTCAAACTATCCTCAGACAGTTTGTATCTTGCCGTCAGTGGAATGGATTTAGACAGTGTTGTAAAGCCTGAAATGACACAAGAATGGGAGGAAGCTAAAAAAGAGTGGTTTCCACGGATTGACAGCAAATCCAATGCGGCATACGATCTAAGAACCCCAGGTAACAGAGTAACACAATCATTAAAAGTTATATTTATGTTACTCAAGTACATGGACAATTATTGTAATAAAAGACGTCGTCTTCAGTTTGTTGTACCGAATTCTATTTCAGGATTATTCAAGATGGAATGGGAAGGTGACGGGTTTGTCGGCTTGGCTGCCAAAACTTATTACTGCTTCCATAACGAGTCTCCCGACAAGGATAAACATAGTGCAAAGGGTATCAATAGACATTTCCGCCTGACCAAAGAAGATTATTTGAAGGTTCTCAACAAAGACCCGAAACAAGAATTACAAGTAAACAAGGGTGAGGGCATGTACACATACGAACTCACCAAAAAGGGACTTGATCATTTATATGTCAAGAGGAAGGTTTTAGATAACGGTATTAGCACGACTCATTTAGATATTTAAGGTGGTGTGTGATTGTCGACTAATTGAGATGAAAACTTAGCATGGTTTTTTTTCGGATTTTAAACTTTTTTCATAATACATAACTTGTTTCATTTTGTACACTAAAATGTTTAATACCGTCATTAATAATAACAATACCCGTCATTAATAATAATACCCGTCATTAATAAAAATAATAATAATAATACCCGTCACTAATAATAATAATAATACCCACCACTAATAATAATAATAATACCCAGCACTAATAATTATAATACCCGACACTAATAATAATACCCGTCATTAATAATAATACCCGTCATTATTAATAATGTCCGTCATTATTCCGTATTCATTGGTTATACCCGTCACTAATAAGAATATCCGTCCCGACACTAATAATAATACCCGTCATTAATAATAATACCCGTCATTATTAATAATGTCCGTCATTATTCCGTATTCATTGGTTATACCCGTCATTAATAATAATACCCGTCATTAATAATAATACCCGTCATTAATAATAATACCCGTCATTAATAGTAATACCCGTCATTATTAATAATAATGATACTCAATACTGTTACTTATAATAATAATACCCGTCATTGATAATAATACCCGTCATTATTAATAATACCCGTCATTAATAATAATACCCGTCATTATTAATAATACCCGTCATTAATAATAATAATACCCGTCATTAATAATAATAATACCCGTCATTTATAATAATACCCGTCATTATTAATAATACCCGTCATTAATAATAATAATACCCGTCATTAATAATAATAATACCCGTCATTAATAATAATAATACCCGTCATTAATAATAATAATACCCGTCATTAATAATAATAATACCCGTCATTAATAATAATAATACCCGTCATTAATAATGATACCCGTCATTAATAATAATACCCGTCATTAATAATAATACCCGTCATTAATAATAATAATACCCGTCATTAATAATAATAATACCCGTAATTAATAATAATAATACCCGTCATTAATAATAATACCCGTCATTAATAATAATACCCGTCATTAATAATAATACCCGTCATTAATAATAATAATATTCGTCATTAATAACAATAATACCCGTCATTATTAATAATACCCGTCATTAATAATAATACCCGTCATTATTAACACTAATACCGTCACTAATAATAATCATAATACCTGTCATTAATAATAATACCCCTCATTAAACCCGTCGTTATTAATAATACCCAATACCCGTAATTAATACCCTTCATCATTGATAAATTAATACTTTCATTGTCGTTAGAGGTTTCTGAGAGGTATCTCAGAGGTATATATAAGGGGCTTTTAACAGTTAATATGAATTCAATAGTTCTTCATCTAGCTTGAAAATGAGTAGTAAATCATATTCATGTGATAGTTGTGGAAGGCAGTACAAAAATTCTAAAAGTCTTCGCACCCACCGATACTCGTATCACCGGTCACAGAAAGATAGCAGAAATATAGATAAGGTCTACAGTTCACCCAATGACTCCGTGAAACTCGACTACGAGTATGGTACTGATTACGCTACTAAGAATAAGCTTCCAGCAGCCAAAGAATTCACAACAGGTGGTCCTGGATATGATTATTTACAGGATAAAGTTATGGACATTGTACTAATGAAAGCAGACCTAAATATTCTGCAATCGACTGTCGATGAATTAGACAGACTTGTCCGGAACATGAATGAGGAGACGAAAAGTAATGACAGTGTGAGTAATAATACTCACTTTGATAGATATGAGGACAGCATTCTTCCATCAAATGAACTCAGAATACTCAAACTTACGGTAGAATCAAACAAAAATGATATCAGAGATATTCAAGATACTATGGATAATATTGTCTATAAAAACGTTGGACAAGAGATTGACGTTGATTTAAACGAACTGGCAGCCGAAGATCTTATCGATGGTATGATTGAAATAAGGAACTCCTTTGTTGAAAATGATATAGGCGGGGTGACTGCAGATATTACTAAACTCCGTAACGTCCTCAAGTTAATACTGAAAACGGTAGATCTAAGTAAACTGAGTGAGGAGGAAATCCAGCTGCTAAATGAAATATCTAATGCTTCGAAGTTAACGGCAAAAGCAATGATACACGAAAATTTTAATCATCTCGTGAACATGTTTGACCGGATGAAAACTGATCTTGATGAATTATATGAGCCATCTGATTCTGAGAAACAGGAAATAAAATCTGTAAATGAAGAAGAGAAATCGGACCCTGATGACAATAACTCTATGACTGATCAGTCAGAATCTGAAACGGCATCAGACAAGGAAGAAGAACAGTACTCATCGGATTCTAATAGTAGTGAAATTGATCCGTCAGAATTAGAAAGCACGCTAGATAATCATTCCATTTCACAATCTGAGGATCAAAGTGACTGAAATTAATGAATAAAATTGACCTCCGGAACAAAGACTATAAAAGCATCTGGGAGAACTGCTTTTCAAAATTTATCTTCTGCTGTCAATATTATTAGTTATGGACCGTTCCACACTTGCACAAATTCCTGGAGAATATCAGGATATTTACAAAAGGAGTTGGAACAACACAATTAAAACGAGTGTGAGACAGGGTCGATTGAAAGATGTTTACCATTTTCCTATACTCACCATGGATAATAGTGCGATCTTAAGAAAAGCTGAAGAAGTTGTTGCAAAATACAACGAGAAGTTCAAAGTTAATGTGGCGTTTGGATTTATTCTCAAGGACAGGACTACAGATGAACTAAAGTTCTTTCATCCGTCAAACAACACGATGCTGTTTACACTCCCTCGATTATTAGAAACTCCGTCTGATTATAGACAATTTATTGAGGATATTGAGCAACAAGACGCCTTTGACTATGCTCGACTACACAGACCATCAACAAAATGGACAGTGGAAAGAATTGTGTGCGTACGATTTGATATTTATAGATTTAAACTAAGACCTTAATTTAATTCTGTCAAAACTTATTTTTGGATGTGTATCGTGTAAATAATATTCAGCTAATGCTATTCGTAAAAACTTATTCATTTTCATTTATTTTTCTAACCAGTTACGAATCATTTGTTTTATTTTTCAACAACATCAGTCAGCTAGTTATATTGATAGATTGTGGAAATTAATCACTAGAAACGATTAAATGAGTCACTCAAGTGATCTATAGGACAAGGATAGCGTGCTGCAGGTGGCACATTATAACTTCACTTTGACCCACTCTAATCTGGTAAGATCGTTACACGATAAGATCACAAATTTGTACCGTGAGCAATGAACATGACGTAATAATCAAGTTACATCCAGTATAGTTTCCACATGGAACATGATATCACACTAGTTACAAGGACGCCGCCGGTAACATTACGTAATATGCTTACTTTCATTATGTGTGCCCCACTTTTTCCCAAAATGGCTATTGAAAAATGCATCATATACTACTTATAGATCTTGTTAAAGATTCAACTGCAGCTCTCATAAAACTCGAGCAATTGGCAGCTTCCGGACAAGTAGTCGATACTTGGATCAGCTTCAGTATAGATATTGTTTCTCTGTACGATTCTCTGCAACATAGCTTGGTGATGTCAGCCTTAGATGATGCTATGGAATCGTGTAGACCAGATTGGTCTGAGGAGTTCAGGACTTGGCTGAAGGGACTGATACGGCTTAGTTTTGATTCGGCAGTCTTGAAGAATGCAGACAACTGGTATGAGGTCGTTAATGGTGTACCCACTGGAGGTATCAATTCAGTGGATTGCGGTAACATTGCTTTGTTCTTTGTCCTAAAGAGTCTGGTTTACGACCCGGTTGTTAGACCAGAGGAGCTCAAGAACCTTGATCGGTTTGTGGATGATATTTCGGGCCAAGGTATGTGGAGAGGTTCTATGATTGGTTTTGAAGAATGGGTAGGGTCATTACGCAGTAAGATGGTTGATAACTATGGCTTAGATATTACATACGAAGTGAAACCAATGACGGAGTTCACTCAGTTCCTGGACATTCAGTACAAGTTTGTTGGAGGGAGACTCACAACAGATCTGTTTAGGAAACCTACTGACGCCAACAGGTATCTTGAATTCTCAAGTTTCCATCCACGACATACCTTCCGGAGTATAGTCTTCTCACAGGCACTTCGATACAGAAGGATAATCAATGATGACGTCTTGCTGGATGAGAGATTGGCAGAGCTTCAGTTGTTTTTTGAGCGGTCTTCATATCCTACTGATATGGTGAGAGAGGTCATCAGTGATGTCAGATCGATACCAAGAACTTTACAGTACAAGGCAAAGATCAGGGTCCCCCTTCTTTCACACCATGGATTGTTACATTCGGTGCGGGCTATGAGGAAACCAAGGAAAAGGCTAAAGAGGCCAGTAACATCATCTCAAATAGCCGTACATGGAGCAGTGAGAACCCTGAGAGGATCCCTTAACTCCAAGTGGTGACCAGGCGAGCCCCTAACTTAAAGGACACTTTATTCAAGAGAAAGAAGCTTGCCTTAGGTTCAGAGTCAAGAACAACTGACCCATGCACCAAACCTGGTGAGAAGAAGAAAGGCAGACCCTGCCAAACTTGTCACCTTGTTAGTGGCAATTCCATGGTCTCCAATAATGGACACTCAGTCAGAACTCAAGGTGGTAACTGTAAGACACGCAACATTGTGTACGGCGCGACGTGCAAACTTTGTACTGTTAATAACGTATACGTGGGAAAAACAGTCACCAGCCTCAGCCAACGTGTGAATGGTCATCGCAGTAAATATTATGAGATTTTAGAGGCGAGTAGTAAGGGGAATGTTGAGAGCCACAGAGATTTTGATGACGAGAATGTTTTAGGGGCACATCTTTTTTCAGTTCATAATTTGAGGGAGAGATCTGATTTCAATGAAAGTTTCCATTTTGATATTTTGTGTTCTACATCCCCAGATAATATTAGAAAGTCAGAACAGTTTTATATTAACAAATTGAAGACACTTTATCCGTTTGGCCTGAACAATGTGAATTCCGTTTCTGGAAGCTAATTTTTCATGGTGTCCCGAATTTTATTTTTAAATCGTCCATTTTTTGTTTATATATGCAGTCTATCAATTTTTGAATTGCGTCTTTTTGATCTAATGAACTACTGCAGACTCCACATTATTATAGTATATGCCATTAATTTTGTTCCGATTTTAAACTATTCCATTTTGACGAGATGCTAAATTAATAATTTTTTGAGAATTTACTACATTTTTGATGAGAATTTTTGACATTTTCAAACTAACCATTGATATTCTCAGATTATGTGACTGATTAAATGCTGAAGATAAAAGAAATATATTCATTTTGCTAAGATTATGTTTGCGTTTCATTGCTCAACAGCTGTTCGAAGGATCAAATTTAAGATTTTCAAATATTGAAGATAAAATTTTCTGAACCGAAACTTCACAGATTTGACTGAGTTATTTTTAGTGATCGATGAATCAGTCGTGCTTGCCAGCTCTGTGATAATCAGTAATCACTTACAAATTGAGAATGCCACATATTTCATAGAATAATTCCGTTTAAATTCAGGGTATAATTTTGAGCACAAATCACCATGAGAGTTGCTTATTTAATTATTCGGTTAAGATATTACTGGATGTGGATTGTGGATGTAGTAGATATAGAAATTTCAAACACCATGACCAGATTGAAGAAACTGGATAATCATCTCATGCTTAAGACACCAAAAAATAAAAAGTCTAAAGTTGATGACAGACGTTTCGCAAGCCATGCACCGGTTGCATGGAACTCTCTTCTGATACTAACTGTTTCAAGCGAATGTTGAAGAACCATTTTCATAATCAGTTTTGATGTCTTTTCTCTTGCCTTCGCCTTATAATGGGTCATACTTTTATTCACATTTACACACTAATTCCTCGCATTACTCACAGTCAACCGCTCTGACATGGTTGACCACCTTTCTTGTGTTGTTGGTTAAGTTTAACCATTTGAGCGGGATACAAACACCTGATTTCATTTCAAATACATATTATGTTGTATTTTAGATCTTAATTTCATGTCATTTGTATATTGTATCCCCACAATCTTTTACTTTTTATTGTTTGTGTTTATCATTATTATACCATTTATTAATCTTACTATATATAAAGCGAGACGATATATATGGATGGATCCGTGCCATTTTACTGACACCACGGCATCAACTTTAACGCGACTTTCCGCAAAAACCGTAAAAGATATACAACTGAAACTTTTTTGACTGGGTCAAATGCCTTTATGGCCTTCAAATCAGCATAAAAAAAAAAAATATTGGCCAAGGAATAAGAATTTTAGTATCCAAAATTTGGACCCCCAAGTGGTGTCAAAAACGCGAATTAAATAGATATTAATTATTTTAGTCTCTTGAGTCTTGACACCACTTTAGGGTTAGACGGGTTCCTGCTAGTTCATATAAAGCGCCGGTTATGCGTAACTATAAATTAAATAAATGTTATTGATGAGAAAAGTAAATAATCGTTTACAAAGATATTTCGGTTTTATTAATAAGTAAACTTGAAAAGTGCAGCCGGAAAAAAATACATATAAACTTTGAAATTAACCAGAAAAATGTTTCATGATCATTTAAAAATTGAAAATATAACACTAAAAGGTAATGTCTATTCTAAATATTCTGTTCCTATCTCGGTCTTCTTACAACATATGGAAGATAACTGCCAAGAGGGGCGCCAAAACAAACGCTAGAGTTGACGCAGAATTGCATTTGTCGGTGAAGCATTCGAGACATCTTTTGTCTTCCTTTGCTTCTTTAGGACACGGTCCACAACCCTTGTTAGCCACGCTATAGGTTTGTTCTATCAAGAGTACCGCTGAATGCTCGGGTCTGAAATATTGGGCGGTTAATTTTTTCAATTAATTCAATACTTTTTAGATTAATACTTGATACTTAGTTACCTAAAAAGTGCCAAACTAGATAATAGCTAGGAAGGGGATTGCAATAATGAAACTTAAAGTTGATAAACTACCGTTAATTTCGCTAATTATTACTAGCTAATAACTACTGTTAATTTGGATAGTAAGTGATAAGTAAGTGATAAGCAAACAAGTTGATTATTGGTATTTTGGTGTGAATCCTCATTTTCGTACTTGTTGCATGCGATGGCAGTGGCTTCCTCAGCGTGACAAATTGTCGCTGTTTCGGATTTCACTAATTTGTCTGATACCAGGCTGTAGTCGAAACACTCGAACGTTTTTGCTCCAGCTGAAGATTGATGGGTGTCAGTAATGTTATAGCTAATCTGGATTCTGGGGAGCACAAAATAATGAGTAGGCTAGGAGTTTTATGGATTATTGCTGGAAAAACGTCAGCTGGAAAGAGGGGACAATTGCAATGCCCACCACGCAAAGTGGAGGTGGAGTTAGGACAAACAGTGACACTATCGTTAGCGGGGCGGAGGCAGATATGTGTGCCTTGCAAGAGGTGGGGACTGGGGACAGTATTAGACACTTATAGAGTCCAGGACTTGATAAATGTAGTGTTATGATGAACACTGCAAGAAATAAGTTACTGTGCGGCGCTCAGCCTGTCATTCCACCGAATCTTTATTCTACATATGTTTATGAACATTATAGCCAAGGGTCCCCAGGTAAGGAATAATACGAAAGGGAAGCGGGAATGGGGAACAAGATCAAGAGAAATGCGCCAAATCATGTTCCAATTAGCAAGCAATGTTTGACCTGTTCGTTATTTGTTATTGTTCATTGACCCTCAACAAACAAATGTCAGATATGCAAAATTTGATATGTATTTTATGTATCAATGATCATATTGATATAGTTCAAAATTTGATTTATTATGTCTTTATGTCTCCATTGCAAATTCATATTTACCTGGAGTTACGTCTACGTTACATCCGGCGTCTGCTGTGGCAACGCATTGGGCACATGTCGCAGTACTGTCAGCAGGGCACTCTCCACACCCGTACGCTTGAGCACTCGCACCTCCGTAGTACTGCGACCACACTGGACTGAGGGAATGGTGGATTTTAAATTGGTGTAATAAAGATAGTAATAGTATGCTGAAAGTAAAACACGGAAAGAGTTGTATTGGGTTCGATGTGGGTTTGGACACCCGTTGAAAGTCACATCAAAGTAGTCAAAATATTGTAAGTTCATTTGTTAGCTGGATGTGAGATGTGACCATTCATCAATGACTCGAGTGTATTTAAAACCATCAGAGTCGAAGTAGTTTTTTTTTATTTTCCAGCATTCAATTCTGAAATTGAAAATATCTTATTTTATGAAAAAAAGGAAAAGTTGCAACTCACGATGTACATGCGAGAACTCCGTCCGCGCACTGCACGTGATTGTAGCCAGTACCACCATTACACAATATGTCTACCGCCGCTGTGGGTGTTTACTGTTTACGTTGTTTATTCTCAAATTTGTATTGTACTGTTAGTGTTTATCTTTAAAATCTTCTGATATTCTTTAAGGGGGGGGGGGGGGGGGGTTCACCCTGATTTTTTTGTGAAACTTGGTTTCGAGATAGCAGTTGACCAACAAACTAAGACCGGTGACCAAACTTTTGAGGGGGTCCTGGACCCGAACCGCCAAACGGTGCTCGCGGGGCAGCCACGCCCATATTTGGTCCAAATTAGGCCCAATTTGCCCAAAACCCAGATTTTAGGTGCTCTACTTGTAGCTAGTGATCCCTTGAACTCGTATATAAAATTGATTTTGGCTCCATGATTGTCAGCTCAATATCTACCTAACTGTGGATTCTGTGTTCAAATAATCGCAAAAAATGAACAAAATCGCCCATATCTCAGTTCAAAACAATAAAACTCAATAGGGTTTCAATATTTTTTCATGAAATTTTCAGAATCAACGTAGAATTGACTCATGACCCTAAGTTTTGGGACAGAATTTTGAGTTAGGCCTTTAAAAAAATTTGGCGGCAAAATTCTGAAAAATGCCCGGCAAATTTCAGAATTTGGCTGCCAAATTTGTTTTAAGGTCATGACGGGGGGGGGGGGTGCAGGTACTTTTTTGATGGAACATATGCTGACTTTTCGAAATTTCTGAAAATAACCACCCACCCACCTCCTTCACGAATGGAATAACAAAAAAGTACCACGGTACTTTTCGAAATTTTCCCGAATGACCCCCCACCCCCTCCTTTTTTTTCAAAAAATTCTGTTCATCAGTTTTCCTAAACTGAAGATGTTATGACACCTCGATGTGACTTGTGAGCAGGGTTGCTGGCATTTTTGAGATTCATTTTTAAGGTTTTTTCACGTCTTTTAAGGCCCCTTTTGACCCATTTTTAAGGTCCAAAACAGTTAAATTGAGGTTTTTTAAGGTCCGCAGTGCGAAAAGTTTGGACAAACGCAATACAATAAAATGGAAAATAATTTCAGAAAAACCCAATTAGATCTACAACAAGCTAGGTATATTTCAGAAAAACCCAATTAGATCTACCACAAGCTAGGTATAATTTCAGAAAAACCCAATTAGATCTACAACAAGCTAGGTATAATTTCAGAAAAACCCAATTAGATCTACAACAAGGTAAGGTATAATTTCAGAAAAACCCAATTAGATCTACACCGAGCTAAGTATAATTTCAGAAAAATCCAATTAGATCTACAACAAGCTAGGTATAATTTCAGAAAACCCCAATTCTAACATTTTGGTAATGAAAAAGACAAAAGTACCATGTACTTTTATAATCATGTTTTGGGGTACCCTTCTTTTTTTTGGGACAAAAAAAGTACCATGATACTTTTCGAAAATTTCAAAAAACACCCACCCACCCCTCGGGCACTTTTAGGGGTTATGTTCCATCAAAAAAGTACCTGCACCCCCCCCCCCCCCCCCCCCCCCCCTCCAATTCTACGTTGATTCTGAAAATTCATAAAAAAATATTGAAACCCTATTGAGTTTTATTGTTTTGAGCGAAGTCAGTTTCGCAAATATGGCGAACTGAGATATGGGCGATTTTGTTCATGTTTTGCGATTATTTGAATACAGAATCCACAGTTGAGCTAACAATCATAGAGAATGTGTAGTTTAGGCTTATCTTTCATATAAAGTTGGTTTCATTCAAAAATATTGATATTTGACCAATTTATGGGCCAAAATCGATCAAATTAGTTGCGTATGCCCAAATATGGGCATATAGTTTTTAGCTCGTAACTCAGTCATTTTTTGTCCAATCTTGATAAAATTTCATATACGAGTTCAGGGGATCACTAGCTACAAGTAAAGCACCTAAAATCTGGGTGAGAAGTAAAAGAAGTGCCCCGCGGAACGCGGGCACCATTTGGCGGTTCAAGTCCAGGACCCCCTCAAAAGTTCGGTCACCGGTCCTAGTTTGTTGGTCAACTGCTATCTCGAAACCAAGTTTCACAAAAAAATCAGAGTGAACCCCCCCTCGGCCTCTGCATATAAAATATTTTGAATTATGTATGCATAATATAGTCACATCGGTCGTATGGTAATCTCATTATATGCGGAGCCAGTCCACTTAATTGGCGTAAGTTAATATCAAGAGAACTTTGACCAAGTTCACGAATCGAGACTATTCCGAGAATACCTTGGAGTCTAAGTTAAGCAGCAGATTTTTACAATTTTTGCTATTTCAGCCTTTAATTATCGTAAACAGCGATGATATCACGATTAGTATGCGACCGGATCGTTAATTTCTAATTTTTTTAATCCGGCAACCCGTGTCCCGTTCAAGTGCGTACCTATCCTCGTAGCCGACAAAGTTAAGGGTGGCTAGTATGATCGATATACCGAAAGAGTGGAAGGGTGTAAGTATTTTCTCTTTCATTATTCTACTCTTACTTGTTACTGAGCATTCTGTTTCTGCATTGTGGAAAGCAACAAAAAACCTTGGACTCGATGTTAAGGATAGAGTAATTCTTGTAATGAGTTTACATTATATGCAATCATTGCTGTTTTATTCGTGAAATATGAAAGTTTGTTGGAAATCATATCAGTGATTTAATCTATAAGTTGCAATTTTGGTCATAAGCGATAAAATGAAGCTTATCATATTTTGTGGAGATTTTCAAAGTAAAGGCAGTGAGGCAGTGTTCATGTCTGTTAAAATCATTAAAACACACTGCACTTATGCTATAAGATTTCAGCGATGCACAACTGGGCCGCTACGAGCTGTGAAGGATTGACATCGTCAATCAAGCTATAAGAGAACTGTTTGAATATAAACAACTAGCCTCGATAAACTGAAATGAACACGTCGTTTTAACACCCATACCTAGTCATCAAATGAGTATAAAATATAATAATAAACTTCCTTCAATAATATCCTAATAAACAAACTACGTTGTAAATTCTATAACTCCCCCAAGTTTCAAACTAATCAATTGAAGCGGACCAGAGTGCAGAGTTGCTGACTATATTACCGCAGTATGATGCTACGTTAGCTGTATACTTAGGCACACGGACACTTAGAAATTATTGAAAGCTACGACGCGATAGAATAAATTGTTACATATGTTAAATACCATATACATATAGCGTATATAATTATAACCATTTTGCACTTAATAATACAGCTTAATGACCAAGCTCAAAGTCCCATGATTACAAAGATAACAATTATAATATAGCCCCACTGGGTTAAGCCGTTGATTTATGAGTTTGCAATACAAAAGATACTCAATCTTTCTGTTTCTGTTAAGAACTTCTTTTATCGTCTGTAAAGTGTAAGTTTCTTTCTCTTTCGATTTGCAAACTAAAACAATGAAGGTTACAAGGAAATATATTCTTGTTAAATTTAGTATTGTGTGTTGTGGGTGATAACCACCCCTTTAGGAAAGCTCCGCCGTACTGTCCACTCTTTTAGGAACGTTCCACTGTTCTGTCCACCCTTTTAGGAACGTCCCACCGTTCTGTCCACCCCCATGGGACCACTATAACGTCCGAAAATGCACCCCTTAGCACTAAGGGGGAACCGGGTGCCGTGATCCACTTGCGTCCGTTTCTGTAGACTAACACAATTAAGAATAAGATTATAGAGTATTAATTGTTTCATTAATCTGGGAATCTAATTTATGAGACGCCAGTGCTTATTTCACTAAACGATCTAGTAAGTAATCTGTAAAAGTATTAATAACTACAATGCCCGTGCAGTCATAGGGAGGCCGAAGGAAGCTAATATTATTCTAGAAGCTATTAAAAAAATAGCTTTGAAAGTTAGTATTTATCGTATCAAAAATATTCGTCACAATTAACTGCATGACTGAACTAGCGGGTTTCTCGAAAAAGTCAAGAAAATTTTCCCATTCAGAATGAGCGATGTGATTAAGTTTCTGTCGCTATTTAGAATGCAGTTAAAATTTGTTTAGAAGGTTTGCACTAATAGTAATATAATTATACCCAATTAATATTATCATCATGAGTGGTGCGAATCCTAATTTTTCAATTTTGTGGTATCAACAGTTCTAGTTAGTTTTTGCTATGATTTTAAAATTAAAAGGTAAGGTGATGAAGACTGCCAATCTGTTGTACAATGTACATATGAGGGACCACATGCAAAACTGGTATATCTGTTTTTGATAGTTTTGAGATAAATGCATTTTACTGATTTAAAGATTCTATATCATGTGTAAAAAACACTTCTAAAAAATGGTATATCTGTCTATATACCATTTTTAAAACTGGAATTGTACCAAAACTGGTATATCTCACGATATGCCATTTTTTCTATACTATAAACGATAAAATAATTTAACTGAGAATGGTATATCTGAAGATATACCATTTGGGCTGGCTAAAGTCTATAAAATGTGTATAGATATACCGGTTTTATAGAAGATAAGTTTCTTGAAGGTGGTCTATCTGCAGATATACCATTTTGTTTTCATGATTGTTAAAAGCTAAAATGGTATATTGTAACATATACCAGTTTTGGAAAAATAAAATTTCACTTTTTTTCAAAAATTTCTTCAAATTTGTTCAAAAAAAGTTCCAAAGATGCACCTTTTCACTCTGA